TGAACCAATTTCCACATAGGATTAGGCTAGATTTTTAAATACACAGTTCGCAGTCTAAATATAAGAGATTACTGCCTAAATATCAAAATTCTTTTCGTCTAATCAAAGCATTTACAGAAACTTTTCTTAGCGGTTAAGGATTTTGAGAACGCAGAAGCACAACTCTAGAGTGAATACACAAATAAAACATCTCTCCGATTGGAGATGTATCAAATATACCTTTGGGGATTTACAGCAATGGTCCATGCAACGGCGAAATATCGACTTTTGTTTTGTTCACAATATACGGAGGTCTACTGTAATAATTTAATATGCTACTGACATAAATACGGACTATCTAGATACATATATATGTATATGCGAGATTCTGCTATAGTTTTTGTTCGAATTACATATTTGATTCCAGATCAGTGTTACATTTCATACATAATTCCGAACAAATTTTAATGACGTTTAATACACACAAAGAGATAATGTTATCGAAAATCGTACATGTTTATTATATTGTATGTTTATATTTGGTTCGAGAACTACGATAAGTTGTTCTTTTTATAATTATATTTCGTATGACATTTTAAAACTGTTAATTGTAATCTCTCGGTTAAACATAAGGAATACTCATTAGTTTGATCTGCTATTCGTGTGAACCTAGTAAACTAGCAATACTCAGCCAAGTTCTGTTTGTTCCTCTGATATAATAAAATTAAAATTTGATAAAACGTAAAGAGTTACAATGTGATATAGCATTCTTTCATCTATTCACAATCTTCAATAATGATTGTTTTATATAGATAAAACGAAGTTTAAGGATATTTTGCTATGATTTCTTTTCCACATTAAGTATTTACCTACATACATATTGTATGTGTAAACTATAAATATGTAATTTAATTTAACATTTTATTCTTTGTTTCAGGTTCAACAAGCCTCTGCCTTTTGGGTAAGTGAACAACGTTTTCGTTTCAGGATAAAGGATCTTACATAATTACAATTGATTTATTAGTTAGACAGAAAATATTAAACAAGTTATTCTGTTGTTAATGGTACGTTTAAAAATCAATAACTAACCCACCCGTGACACTCTTCATTAAGGCTGTTGAAAGACGGTTGATAACTTTCTATTTTAAATAGATTTTGGAGACGAAATTATATTCAAAGGCAGTTAGTTTCTTTATATTGTTAGCTCAACGGTTTTGAGTTTAATACTTACCAATTTCTACAGCATTCACAAGTAATTAGTTTACATTTTAAAAAGCGTAAGAAAATTTGCAGATATACCTACCTATTTATTGAGTCCTTGTGTTAAATTAGAGTGTCGATCTATTCATCGTGAACTGCATGGGTGTCGTAAGATGAAAAATTGGACTTATTCGCAGTTGAATAAAAAATCTTTATCAAATCTCTGCAAAATAGTTATCAAATAAAAAATTCAAAAATGTATATAATTTAATAGATTGTTTTTATTTAAAATAAGGTCTTTTAGGATTCTAAAAGACAACTTTATATTGCGATTAAAAAACTGATACATAAAATGATAACGTAACACCTAAAGGATACTATGCAAGGAATCACAAAAATAAAAATTTGTTCCGAGTCTAATTCAAAAATTCATTGGTTTATTGTTGACTATGGTTGACTGTTGATGTTTTTACATTTTTTAATTATTTTATATTAAACGAAATATGGTTTTAATTGTATTAATATTTGAACGAACTGTTTTACAAACATATGGTTTTTGAATTTATTGTGACAGGCATATTTTATCTATCCATTTGCACCATACTTTTAATAATTTACTCAACTTGTCTGATTGGAATTGAATTTGCTACCGTTTCGTTAAGCTTTAAAAAGAATAATTCGTCAATGTCATTTTCCTTTAACTTCCTCGTAACCTTCGTTGGTAATTGTAATTATTCTAGTGTTATTAACTTCAGTACGTGAACGAGCTACTCGCGTTTTACATGAATATTTGCTTTTGTCCTAAAAATCGGGGCTTTATTAACATAAGGAAATGATTCGAGATGAAAAAAATACGACAAATTAAACCTACACCAGCAGCTTAATTAATTACCCATAAATTAAACGTAACTAGGCAAAATGTAACTTCGTGTTTCATTTTCTTCTTTCACGTTTTACCACATGCAAGGCAATTTTCATTTGAAATGGCCCATCAAATTGTATATTAATTTTTCTCGATTTCAACAAGAAACAGTACCTAAATGCTTCGTTTTTCTTTATATCCGAAATTTAATACATACTATGCACTTAGTGCAAAATCAAACATTATTCATGTAGCAAAGCAAAATTTCTAATATCCTGAACTGATAGTGTGCTCATTCGGGTCTAAAGGTCGTCTTGGTTTGGAGTTGCTTCCATCTTCGATGCTGGATGTGTCTTGTAGAGAAACTCGCAAACTCGTACTAAGCAAGACGTCAGGAAATAATCCCAACCGACGACGGCTTTTAGATCCGAATCGGAACAGCATCAGTTCACCTAGTGGCTGCGAAAGCCTTAATCAATTTCCAATATCCTGTTAAAAGAATTCCTGAACTGAGCGAAAACCTCAGGAAATATGGGATTTACACCCGAAGTTTTCAATGCTTTGCTTAATACGATGCCTCATAGATTTTCGGAAGTTATAAAAAATACAGGCAATGTTACCCAGTGATAAACATTCAAATGTAGATTTTTTTGTTAATTTTGTTCACATTGTTGTATTTGTTCTCTCATTTTGTTAGTTATCGGTTCGTTTTCACTTAATAGGTACATACTACGTATTCACTTTGGATAGAGAAGGTTAGAAATGGAAAGGTATTAGAAAGAGTAGGAGAACAGAGGATTTTATGGAAATTAATAAAACAAATAGGCGCCTTCTTAGGCATGTCAGAGACATATTAGAAGCGCAAACAGGAGTTAAGAGGAGTTGAGGTAGAGCTACATTAGATTACTGTTCACAAATAGTTAAGGACGTGGGATGTTCTAGTTTTAGAAAAAGATTGACGAAGATTGGCTTAGGTTAGGAAGGAGTAGAGGTATGTGTCCAACCTGTCTAAGGACTCACGTCCTTACGACGATGATGAAATGACAATGGGAAAGTGATGTTTAAAAACTTCTAAGAACGCTTACAGCTTGGCGGTCATCTAATAATAAATAATTATTATAAGCATTATAATGTAATACAAACTTATGAATGATGAGTTGAAAAAACTTTTGGTGGGCCCCGAAGGGAAGCATAAAAATAATCATTAGACCACAGCAAAAAATGAATTTCAATTCCATGCCCGTTTGCCCGTATCCAACGTTTTCTATTATTTCCTTGGATAATATAGGGCAATAATTTTCAACACATAAACTTCTAATAATACTTCCCTTCTGTCTACATGTAATTCGTCTCTTCTCAGCTAACACCCACCCTTTCCTATAATTGGCTAAAGAGGATCTTCCGCCCTATCCTCCGGCATTGCACTAAAGTGCATTAATGGCTTGTTATTTTTGCAGTTTTTCAAAATTGGACCCCATATACTAGGTACTTTTTTATTCGTAACTCGATTAAAAAAAATAAGTACTTACCTATCATCATCATAAGGTCATCACCTCCACTCTTTCCTATCCTGAGCTAATCTTCGCATTTCCCTAAAACTACAACAGCCCACATCCTTAACTATTTGCGAACAGTAATCTAATCTAGGTCTACCTCTACCCCTCCTAACTCCTGTTTCTGCCTCTAATATGTCTCTGACTAGACCTTCATGCCTGAGAAGGTGTCCTACCAACCTATCTCGCCTATTTTTTATTGACTTCCATAGAGTCCTCTGTTCTCTCACTCTTTCTAATATCTCTTCATTTCTAACCTTTTCTACCCACGATATCGTCATCATCCGCTTATAACACCACATTTCGAACGCTTCTAACCTTTTCTTTTCCGCCGCTCCCACTGTCCATGTTTCACACCCGTACAACGCCGTGCTCTAAACATACACCTTTAACAACCTTTTTCGAATCTCCAAATTAACCGTACTTACCTATATAAAAAAAAACCCAATAGTGTCAATAAAGACAAAGTTACATTTTTAACATACGTGGTATATTGACACTTTATTACATCATTCGTATAAGTATTTTTAATGTTAACGAAAATATGACACTCCGTATTAATACAAAGAGCTTCTCCATTTCTACGTACATCTTTCACTACAAGAGATAACATTTGAAAAGGTCTCTGCTATCGGCTTAGATAAAACAAATCATTGACGCCTTTGATATACAAAGTTATTTGAATTAGTAATTTAAAGAAACTTTTTTATGAAAGCGTTAGAAATCGTAGATTTCCTCTGTACCTACAACTGCAATAGTGGAAAATTGCCTTTAAACATTCCTTAAATTGCAAATTTTATCTTTTATTCAGAATGCGATAATTCAATATTTGCACCAACATTTAGATAAGTCGTTTGCTTTTTGACAAATTTCTTTACATTTGTTAATGTTAAAAAATGAATTTGAAGACAGTACAGAAAATACACCATTAGTTTTTTAATCAATCTTTTTTATAATTTGTATGGGTTTTCGCAATTTTTTTAATTTCAGTTTTAGAAATATCATCAAACCCGTATTAATAATTACTCTGTTTAATTAGCTAACTTACGATCAGCGATAATTATTACTATTAGAAGATATATTGTGTATAGTGTATGCTGATGATTATTCAAATATTTTGATTTTGACAATTTTATAAGTATCAACCGATAACGTATATTTTCTTTTCGAAATCTTTTGTCATACATTAACGTGGGAATTGTCAATGAAGTTTATTTATATCAAAGTAATATTTACATAAAAATATGTATTTAGAAGAGAACAAATACTTACACATCACAAGGCAATTAATATTTGGGTATTAGGTAAATTGGGTTGAATTCGATAGATAAAAATCCCGAATGTGAGAACAGTTCAAAGTGTAGGTATTTCACCGATCGGGGAACAAGATATAAAACAAAATTAAATAAACTGAAACAGTTTATTAAATAAAAACAAAGGAATTTAAGTAGTAAAAAATTACACCAGAACTTAGTGAGACGGCATTTTTACAAGTACAACTCTTTGGAAATTACATTTTCGCTATGGTACAATTTACAGAATATTTTATGTTACAATAAAACTCTAAGATATAACAACGACTCATATCTTTACAAAAATATATATTATACTAAATTACTTAACACGTTAAAAGGTACATAGCTTCGGTTTTAGAGTTTTATATATTTATCATTTATAGTCCTCAAAATATCTGGATCACAAACAACGAACGGAATTAATAAAATACATTAAATACCCGTGAAAACGATCCACTTAAAGGACATAAAGCACGTCATTTGATGATTTATCTTCGAATGCCTAAAATCTGGATCAACTTTTCGGTACGAATAGGAGATCTGAGGGACAAATATTGACACACAACGTGGTATGCGTTAGTCCAAAACTTATTTATACGCCTACTATAAAAAAATGATGTTTGTCACAACAGTGCTCGCAGGACAAGTCTTAAATACGATTTTTAAAGCTTTCAAGTAAAAAAGGAGAAAACGTATTAATTAATTAACTAAACAAACTTGCTGCATTTACTAAGGTCCATATTCGTTAATGATGTCCATCACTCTCGTTCTGTCTTCGGACCTAATGAAGAAAAACAACTTTTAAAAAATTACATTCTCTGTTACAAATGTGAAATCTTCCCTCACATACGATAAATGTATGAAGGTTTGTCCTATTTATAGTTGTGTATGTAAATTTTGACAACGAATTTTTAGTTCTTTTTTTTTTTTTTGAGAAATTGTTTTTAAAGCCAACAACTAAATCAATGTCCTGTTCCAGTTGAATAAAAATATTGATAATCATTAGTTGACGATGAGTAAACTGTTTCCTAATTACATAATCAAATAATTCCTTGTAATTATTTCACTCACAGTATTATAGATATAAACTAATAAATCTAGAAAACTTTATCCATATTTTTCTTCTTCNTTTTTTTTTTTTGAGAAATTGTTTTTAAAGCCAACAACTAAATCAATGTCATTTCTGTAAACGTTTTAAAAATTATTATCTTACATATGTTGCTGCTGCTGAAGTTGAAAAGCGTCCAGGTGTTTGTTGATTTCTCGATGTAAATGTTCCGGTAACACTCCTACGTTCGAAAACAAACTTCTTAGCACGTTCAGTTCTTCTGTTAGTAGTTCTATCCTTTTCTGCAGTCTTTCGTTTTCTTTTATAAGGATTTTTACTTTCTCTTCCGTCTCCCTGGTTCGGACCTTGGCCTTCTCTCTGCTCTTTCTGACGGCGATATTGTTCCTTTCCCTTCGTCTTCTGTATTCGTCACTGTTTTTATCACATGGTTTCACCGTTTTTCTGGCCACGTGGTGGTTCATCATCGACTTTGTTTTCATCGCCGTCAAGTGCTGATGGTGCAGGACCGTGCTTGGAGTAAGGGTTGTGAACGTGGGCCCTCCGGCGCTCACAGGATACGCAGGTCCTTGTATGTAACCATTATTGGGCATAACGTTCGCGTTACATGGTCGCCGATAGTCCTGCGGATCGATCGGCTCTTCCTTGATCGACGGTACATCACTACCTCCGGAACTGTTCGTATCACTATTCGAATTTTGATTACCGGAATACGTAGCACCACTGTGAACAGGTTGTGGCATGTACGCTAACGTTGTACGTGGATAACCAACGTTAGGGAGTCCTGCCATTACCTGTCTCGGATGAAGGCTTTGTAGGTGTTTTCCCGGCACTTGATTTTGAAAAATGTCTGATAACAAACCATCGTTAAACTGCGAATCGTCTATTAAATTTTGCAAGTCCAAAGAGATTTCGGGCGTATTAAGATCACTGAGTTCTCCGTGCTGTTGATACTGTTGGAGTTGGTGTTGTTTTATGAGCGCCTGCTTCGTGTTTCCACTGGCGTTGTTTAGATTCGTTAGGTTGTTGTTATTGTTGATTATGACTGATTTTTTTTCGTTGTTTGTCATAATGGCATTCGTTTGCGGGTGTTGTTGATTGTCGTACATTTGTGGGGAATCCATTTTTGATTAAAAATTAAAACAATGAGGAAAGCCGCGGCACCACTCGGGTCAACTTTCACTGGCGCACTTTCACTGTCAAAATTCTGTGTTTGTTTTACGCGTCTCTTATGTTAAGTTCTTGCACGCGCCCGACACTTTCGTATTTTTTATTTAGTAAACTTCAGTCTTTTGCAGTCTTTTATTTACGGAAATGTTTACGTTCCGAGTTCAGCACATTTTCTAGGCTCGCGATTTATCTTCCAAGCACCCAAAACGACAATTCCCATCGATTGAACAAAAATTTGTACTTTTCACATTGATATGAGGTAATAAATTAAAACATCGCAGCCGATTCTCAGTCACCTTTCGCCAAGAAACATAACATTTAGAGCAGCCGCCGATAGTTAGTTGCAATAAGTATTATGAATGCATGTACAGCCTACTTGGGTCCCACACCGCTTCGTGCGCTTGCCCAAGCTAACTAGGATACTGAGTCTGCTAAGTGCTATTCCTGCTGTTTGTATTTGCTCAGCAGGGGCATGCGTACTGACTCCGAGTCAAAGCTGACGTCTGGTCGAAAGTGAAAAGATTCGATTCGATTTCATGCTTAATAAAGTGTGGTTTCTTTGTGCACTTTTTTTCATTTTATGACGATGTTTTCGAAAAGGCTAAGTTTCGATAATGGAGCCAAACTATTGCGTACAACTATTTAAACCGAGAAACTGTTTTTGTCCTCTTATCAGCAAAACATACGCAGTACAACCGTAACGATTACCACTCCTATTGCAGGCCATTACTTCAGATGCATTTCAAAAATACCATCAGACGCTATCTTAACCCGTGCTATTTGAGCAAATTAAAAATTAAATTAAAATTAATTGCCAAAATAGAAGAAGAAGATATTAGCAAAATTTTTTTGGACAACTTCTTAATTGATTACTATGCCATTACTTTTTGGTCGACGTTAGTGCATATATACATTAATAAATAAGAAATTTATAAAAATTGGGATTCAATATTTCTTTTTTTTGACAATTTTGACCGATTAGTAGACATTTAAGTCATCATCCCTGTTGCGCTTGGCCCCCTTCTAGTGAAAAAAATTTCCACATTTCCATCTTACGATTAGTGAGAAGATTTATACCTATGTAATACCAAATAGGTGCACGGAGATGCTTTTATCTTTATGTACAATAATATAGGTACATATTGTAGTGTATATACCGCGATATACACAAAAGCGCGTTTACATATATTTGAATGTATATATATGTATTACACATGTATGTATATGTATCTACGTTGGCATGTTAAAGAACTTACGTGCCAGTTAATGCATCGAAGGCGGCTGCTCTACGTCACGTTACGTCACCGACTTGAATCACACGTGCAGGAATGTGCATGGATTCCTGCTGAAAGTGGGTCAAATCGGCTACGTCAAGAGCTGAGAAAATTAGTCGACATCTTCTGTTAGATTATCAAACCAACAAAATTTCCGCGTCGTTTACTTTTGTTTTTACAGTTTTCATTTAAGTGACTTAAGCAGGATTAGACCCATTGAACTCAGCAAGCCAAAGCGCATAACCAGCTTAGGGACAGAAAACTTTATGTGTCTTATAAGTCTCAATTGTTTTCAACAGATGTCAATTTTAAAATAGTGAAAACTTTTATTATTTCCACAGGAAAACGTTTTCGAAAATTGTAATTTGTAACTTTCCTTTTTTCTAAATAAAATATTTGTTCAGATGACTTCTAATTTAAAATAACTTTTGGAGGAAACGAACAATCACTTAATTAAATAAATCAAATAAATATCAATTTCATTAAAAGTATTTTTTTAACAATAAAAATAATAAGCGGTACATCGCTATCTACCGATATTTACTGTTAACTGTGATATTTCGAAATGTTTGACGAGGGCTGGAGTCTAATTGGGACAGTATGGATGCAGAAAGGCTCTTACGAAGGTAGTTTACATGTCAAATTTTTAAAATAGTAAAGTTGTTAAAAAAAAGAACAAATAATTAATTGACTAAATTTGCACAGTTGAAAGCTTGAATTATAATATTACCAAATTTAAACTAGATTTTTTATGGAATTCATTCCAAATCCATTAATCACTCCATATATCAATAAATGTAATTTCTTTCCTTGTATTATTCTATTTTCTCTTATACTTGAATGTAGTGGTGTAAATAAGGGATGGTGGGAGGGGCGACTACACATTATCACATTAGTGCCTCTTGGCAAAGGAATGGAGCGGCAATTTCAGAGTCCACCACTAACGCTGCTTATTACGCTCCTGTAATCTTCGAATGTAGAAAGCAGGACTATTAAAATGATGAACATTGTGACTCTCTACCGAAAACACTCGGTATAGTTGAAGTTCGTGCGTTGCAAGTATGGGGAAAATGCGCATGCTCTTTTCGTTAAGTGCTTTAAGTAACCGCATTATGTACGTTGGGTACATGTTTAATACTTAACTTACATCGTGATTATGATCGTGATAGTTATTCGAAGCCGACCATTGCCGAGTGAGAAGCAAAAATACTGAATGGTTAAGTTTGTTTTTCATTGTTTTCACTGCGATCACATTGGTGCATGTTTTGTGACAGTGTTGAATATCAAAACGGTGTGTTGCCTGTAAAGACCCATTTTAGCAATGGTAATTGTCATGGAATTTAGTAAATGGTTATATATTTATAAATGTACCTATTGCAATAACGTTGATCATTTTTAGTGGGTCGTATTACTTATAATCGCTTCAATCATCATTTATCTTATTAAATCCGGGTGGTTAGATATTTTAAAGAAAACTTACAAAAGAGATTTACGGTAAGTTTGAGTAGTTTATCTTTTTATGATAAAATTATCAATTAAAGATGTGGTCAAAGGTTGATGTTATTCAAGTTTTTTAAGCTTGTACTTTATTAATCATATTTCACGACGTTGTACTTTAATACCATTATTGAACTTTTTAATTAGTATTCGTAACGACCGGAATATCATTTTTATTTAATAGTTGAGTACCGGCGATATTGGTAAAATTTATAAAAAAAAAATACTTGCGATTAGAATAATATACTTTTTTACCATTCCCCCACCGAATGTGCATTTTCTCCTGATTTAAGAAACGAAAGCTCGTTATTCCCTCCCTTGTAAGGAATCGCATTTATTCCTTATTGGGAAAAACTTGCGCTCTTTACTGGTTTGTACGTATTGTCTCGATTATGATAGAAAATGAATAATAAAAAGTAAATAAATGTACACCCAAAAACTTATTGACAGCGTTTTGTGAAAAATTTTTAACTTATGTTAATTAAAAGTACTTCCTTTAAGTTTTTTTATTTCTATTTTATTTATCTAACGTTTAATTTTTATGGANCTACAAAATGAATTTAATATAAAAAAAAAACGGGATATAATATATGTTCCTACGGAAATTGCAAATTGAAATTAAATACCGTATACAAAAAACTCGTTTTATGAATATTCATATTGCTTTCAAACATATTTTGTTTTTGATCTTAATGGTTTCTTTTACTACTGAAGTTACTATTATTTACTTAACTTAATTTATTTATCATGACAGTTTGCTATTCTTATTTGAAGCTTAATTACTTGTTTAAATAGTTGTTAATTTTATTTACCTTTGCAGTCAAATTAATAACATTAAAGGAATTTGTACATTTAGGAACTGTGCTGTAATAAAATTAAAAAACCAAATATTGCCTATATTTAGTCAAAAAAGTAGATACAGTCGAATTCGTTTATTATGAAGTAATTGTAGTGTTAAGTTTGGTTTTCATATTAAGTTCTCTATAGGAAAGTTTGGATATAATGACTCCGTTTAAAATGACATATCGTTTATTGTAACTGATTCTCAAGAAATCATATCCGACTATAGTGACCCAAATGATTAATAATAATATTTTCGCTGATTTTTCTGACCCTTGTTATGTATATTGATATTACAATTCATCGTTCTTTTTCTTTTTCTGTTAATAAATATTTACAATTTGTAGTTTTTCTCTCTATTAAACTAAATAAATGACGCCCGCTTAATATGACGTGTTTGTCAAATCCCGTCGTTGTCATTATAAGCGGATTCTATTGTATTTGAATTCACAAGAAAAATAGATTTATTTTCAAAAAGAATGCAAACAGATATGTTATCAAAGCAGATTTATTGGAATGCAGAAGATAAGAAAAAATTAAATAACCATCCTAAACGCCAAGGTAACTGTTCAAACAATGTTTTTTAGCTATATTGATTAGCTATTTTGATGGATTATAAACAATAGCGTAATTACCGTGACGCCCAAGGCGAAGTTCGAATGCGCGCTCCACCGTCACCCTATATTTACGCCACTGATTCTACCTTTCAAACAAAAAAATAAATTTTGCATGATTTGTTGCTAATTACCATACAATTGTACCGTTTGATAATGATATTTTCATGCTCAATGCATATACCTACTTGATTACGCGTAAATAAAGATTTAGCTTTTCTTATTTTGCATTTTTCTTCATTTGTTTAAAAAATATGTTGTTGAAAAACACGGTTGTGATAATGGTTTTACTGTACAACTTCTATAATTGAAATTATCTTCAACGTAACGATTTATTTCTAGTTTATTTATTACAGAATGCGTTTATTTATAATTACACTTAAAAAAGTATAAACAAAGCAGTAAAGGCTGCAACAAAATAAGAAAATGTAATTCTACTTGCAAACTTGCATTGAAGCAGTACGTACAATACTTTTTGCACTTAGTTTTCAGTGGTGATAATTTTGAGACTGTTAATTCATCTTGTAATCCTGAGAGCTGTACGATAAAAAATGAAAACATTTACCTTTGATTATATCTACCTTTATCAACAAGCGAGAAAATACAAAAGTTGTTACAAATGGGTCCGTTTTTATATTCATGTTACAGAGCGGTGCATAGATTTACGCGACTTAACTGGACGTTGAGGTGTTGGCAACAAAGGCAACTCACTGTAGTAAAAAGATTCTTAGAAGTTACGAAAAAACATCCTGAAAAAGTTGCTTTCCGTTTCGAAGATGACGTTTGGACGTTTAGACAGGTACACTGCAACAAATTATTACTAAGGTGACCTAGTTCTTGGTCATTAATTTATCGACAACACCAAATATGAATCACCAATCAATCAATCAACGAACCTGAAGTTGTTTCGGCGTGATGATGAGAACAAATAAGTTATAAATCGTAAACCACGTCTAGTAGTAGTCGATAAACTACCTACCTTAATGTTCTAATTTTTTTTCGTTCGACAAGTAGATAAATGCTCAAAGGGGTCTTCCATAGACCACGAATTTCGATCCTTTTAGACGTCTCGTCCCTCGCGTGGTCGGGGTAGCATTTCGATCCCCCCCCCCTTAAAGCTACACAGCTTTTCTTTCAATTTTTTCAGGTTTCTTAATACATAAAAAAAATAAAACGAAAACTTGTTTTTATTGTAACTTTTAATTTGTCATGAACAGATACAAATGGTGAGACTAGCCACTCACATAAATCTTGAATCACAGGAAATTGTTCGTTACCAGCGTCGTCATAAGGATCTCACACGCTTCAGTCTCCGAGAGGTAGTGTGACTCTTAATTGAATCGCGTGGTATTTAATTTTTTTTAACTAGTGTATTTACATAAATATTCGTAACTTTGACTTGGACACACCTCCCACGTGATTGAACGTAGCCTTTTGTTACACCCCTGCCCCCTCAGGCAGATTACGTGGTTTATGGAAGATCTCATGAAGCCCTTGTGAAACATATGAAATGTTACAGTTAGTGCTAAATACCACTAGATAGCCATATACTCCACATGACTAACTGGACTAACTTTTACTGACTTTTTATTATCCCGTATGAAAAGGTCTTTGCTTTAACGTATAGAAAAGTGTCTCACATTATTAGTTTGATTCAATTTTTTTACGATTCCTCAATAAATGAATAGTTTTCCTTTAATCGTAGCCATAGAATCATGAATTCTCTCCAGCACGAGCTCAAAGTATTCATATTTAGTAAGTGCTTAGATATTTTTAAGCTTTTTGATATTTTTGAAGAACCTGCAAGTTAATGTTAATTTCTTTCATTTCCTTTTTTTGCCTTTGGTTTACAAGTTATGTAACTGATAATAAGTATAAATATTTCGAGCCGAAAATTGAAGGAAATCCACCCTTCTAAAGATTGGAATGGATACAAATCAGAATGAAAATTAATTACGACTTTCAACATTTTCGTGTTTTTTATTTTAAACAGGAGTAATGGGTAATAATACGGTAACGCATTAGAAAAAGTGTTACACAATTGCAATCCTACTACAGACATAATTTTTATCGAATTCTAAAATTACATAAATATTTTAGCTATTTCTACGCCATAATCACGGTGTCTATTTCATGAGTGTATAGGTAGTCACATATCTAAATTGATATAATACATAAACATGTGAGTGTGTGTGCGGTTTAATATTAACTTCATAAAGAAACAATTTATTGACAATTGCTGTAATCATCGCTTGACAAAATAAATTAGCTTTTATAGCTTTTCCTGTGCCTAACAATTTTAAGGTGACCAAAAGAGGACGTTCAGTTTCGCTTTTAGGTTGATTTTTCTCCATAATTCGTATAACCCATAATTAAAGTATAATACAAAAAATTCATTAAAAACAAATCAGTAATTTTCGTAGTGGTTCATCAAGGTCCCTGCACATATGAAACTCATCAAATAACCTTTTTTCAGCGTGTCAACTATAAATTGAGATAAAAAATTATACTACTTTGCCTAGCACCATATTAATGTATTTCATAAATTTGGTGTAATAATAATGACAATATCTTTATTTTAAATTATTTTAATGTGCTTTTCAGACTCTTCATGAAAATTTATCTCTTCTAATTCTTTCACAATTTGTTAACTTTATCTTCAGTGGAGATTAAGCCGTAGACGAACCATATTAATTGAAAAACCCAAGGAAATGTTTACAACAAGTCATAAAATTATAGGGAAAAAGAAATTTTCTCATTAGATACCTCTAAAATAGAAAAAACAAATTTAAGCATTAGGGACGATGCTTATATTATAGATTTACAATTAAATTTCATATAATCAGTTATTACAAACGGCTTTTCTTTCCAACAAAGTAATATTCAAAAAGCACCATCATCATCTTCGTCATAAGATCGTCAGTCCTAAGACTGGTTGGACACGCACCTCCACTCCTTCCTATCCTGAGCTAATCTTCGTATTTCCCTAAAACTAGAACATCCCATATCCTTAACTGTTTGCGAACAGTAATCTAATCTAGGTCTACCTCTACTCTTCTTAACTTCTGTTTCTGCCTCTAATATGTCTCTGACTAGACCTTCATGCCTTAGAAGGTGTCCTACCTTTTTTATTGACTTCCATAGTCCTCTGCTCTCCCATTCCTTTCTAACCTTCTCCATCCACGTTATCCTTATCATTCGCCGTTAACACCACATTTCGAACGCTCCTAACCTTTCTTTTTCCAGCGCCCACCGTCCATGTTTTGCACCCGTACAGCGCTGCGCTCCAAACATACACTTTTAACAATCTTTTTCGAATTTCTTTTGTCGTGAGCATAGAAGTGACTAATTTTTATTGAAGACGATTCGACACTGTGCTATCCCTAGTACTCCGTTCTGACTTATATGATTTCCTAGATACTTAAAATTAGCTACTTCTAATCTGTCGTTTTCTACCTTTATATTTGCTCTTTCCCTACGTTTTCTTCCCTTGCATACCAGTATTTTTGTTTTACTTTTATTTATTTTCATACAATACTGTCGCACCAAAATGAACAACAAAACAGCAATTTTAAAAAACTTTGATGAAAAGCTTAATAAATTCGTAGGTTGATGAGTACAGTAACAAAGTTGCAAACTACTTTAAACAAGAAGGATTCGTTCGTGGCGAAACTGTTGCCCTATACTTGGAGTCAAGGCCTGAATATGTATGTTTATGGCTTGGTTTATCTAAAATTGGTGTCGTAACGGCCCTAATAAATACAAATTTAGTCAGCGATCCGTTTGTACATTCTGTACAAGTTGCAGAAAGTAAAGCTATAATATATGGATCGGGATACTCTGAAAGTAAGAACAATTTTATAACCTTATCGTTGGTCAAGAAAATTGTAATCCATCAAGGAGCGAATTTAATATACCGGAATTAGATTTTAAAAAATCTTAAAGATTAAGGACTATATGTTTCGCTTCAGCAATAACGAATGTTTCCAAAAAGTTGAGTGGACTGAAGCTGTATCAGTTTCATGAAGATTTAAAAAAACCTTTATTAAACGGAAGTGTTGACCTTAGAGCAAAATTGGAAGAAAGCAGTCCCAATTATGTAAAAGATATTGCAGAAGGAAAAACTAGAGACAAGGTTTTATATATCTACACTTCAGGTACAACTGGATTACCTAAAGCAGCTGTAATCACAAATGTGAGGTAGGAATGAAAAATAATTATTTTTTAATTGCTGGTTACGTTCAATAAACGAATTGCCTAATAATTTCCATACACATTTTAGATATTTTATGCTTACTATGGGGGTGTATAGCATGAGTTCTATGACAGAAGATGACGTAGTTTATGATCCTTTACCACTATATCATAGTGCAGGTGGCATTTTGGGCGTAGGACAATGTTTATTGAACGGTCTCACTGTTGCTATACGAAAGAAATTTTCTGCTTCCAACTTTTGGAAGGATTGTATAAAGTACAGATGCACAGTGAGTAATAATTTTAATTCGATAGTGGGTAGGATTCAATTTGTTCTTTAATGTGGATTAAGGGAATCGATACTGAAATCTCTGCAGCTCTAGAAATATATACCTATTCTAATATTTTCAGTGGCGGCGGAAGGTAGAGAGTGAAAAATTTCAAAATAAGTATTAGGTAAAATAAAGAAAAATATTTTGTTTTCTCAGTTCCCTTCTTTATGATGAATCCAAAACGTTTTAAAATATATTTTTTGTAACTTTCTTAGAATAATTTTACCACAAGGATAAGTCAAGTCTCACATTCAGTTTTTGGACAAGACGGTTCACCACAAGGAAAACAAATCTAAAAGTTTTTAATGTCGCTTCCACAAATCTAGTCATTAAACATACATACACGTTGAATTTTCTTATCGTATCTTTACCTTTCACTAATTAATTCTAAATGCAACTAAGGCATCGACCGTATAAGATTTTTCACTGCAAATTAACAACAAAAAAACCAACAATCCACTAAAACAAAGATAGTCGTTGATCGTTTGCAGACTAAAACACATGCTCAATTGTTTAGGTATTGCACGGCACTGAAGACGTCCGAAATACAGTTTCCTACCACCAATTCAATTCTAACGACTGCACAGATCAACGATCTATCTTTTTCTCATTCTAATTGCGACGAACGGCCGATTCATGATCCATGAATCCATACCCAAGTTTATTTTTAACGTCCACAATCAGCTACTACTTGGTTTATTTGATTTAAATAGATAGACTAAAATAGATAAGGACTTGTTGAACATTCACGAATCACACAACTATTAGCAAATCCGCATTTATTAAGTTTTCCTTATTATAACTTTAACAATGTTATTGTTATTTTCAATTTGTTCTTCCTCTTGGGTGGTTACTTTTATTAACAATTATAGGCTGCGCAATACATTGGGGAAACATGCAGATATATTTTGGCTTCTACAAAAGATGACAAGGAACATGATGGTCATTCGGTAAAAATTATTTATGGAAACGGTTTAAGACCTCAAATATGGACTAAATTTGTAACTACGTTTAATATAGAGGAAGTGTACGAATTCTATGGCGCGACTGAAGGAAATACAAATTTAAGTGAGTAAAACAATACGAGAACGTTTTATCCAAAGAAATTTATAATACATATTTTGTAATTAAAACGCTCAAAGTTACATCTAGGATGCGATAATTGTTTATTTAAGAATGACGAAAGCTGTATATTGTTTTAGTAAACATTGACAGTACTCCAGGAGCAATTGGATTTGTTCCCCGTTATGCTCACCTTTTATATCCTGTTGCCTTGGTGAAATGTGATTCTTTAACAGGAGAACCGATTCGTAACGAAAACGGTTGCTGTATACATTGTAAACCTAACGAAGCAGGCGTTCTTTTCGGTAAAATTAACCACAAGAAGGCATTCTTTTCGTTTTCGGGGTACGCCGATCCTAAAGCAACTCAGAAAAAAATAGTTCAAAATGTCTTCAAAAAGGGAGACTTTTACTTCAATTCTGGTGACATACTGGAGTATGACGATTATGGATATTATTATTTTAAAGATAGGACTGGTGACACTTTCAGGTTGGTCTGTATAACGCTTAATCCTATTATTTACTTTACGTAAAATAAAGACGTACATTTTTCCCTTTATTTTCAACTAGCTTTGATAGCCGGCTTCGTTCAGGAAATTGATATGATGTTGTGTGGTAGTTGGAATAAAAGGGTAAACTTTAAAATATAAGAGGTGCATAGGTAGCCCCACACATACAAAAAAGGCTTCGAATAGTGCACAATGTTCTATAACATTTACAACATTCAAGTGTGTTCTGGAATGTTCCACAATGATATTCTACATTCCGGACTGTTCCCGAATATTCCGCAACATTCCATAATGTTCTAGAATGTTGTGGAATGTTCTTGAATATTCGCAAATTTCTGGACTGTTCTGGAAATTAGTTCATATATATTCAAAAGCACGCCCTTCAGGTAAAAACGGGAACCTTCTTCATGGATGGGAAATAGAGGGTTAGGGGCCATTCATTAATTACATAATTTCTTAACCCCCCTCCCCTTCGGTACTCTTACGTGATTAATTAATGGCCCCTTACCACACCATATATCTCCTTTGATCGTACCTGAACTCATTTTTGAGTTTTAGCTCCACGCACTTTCTTTTATAATATAAGTATATTGATTTAAATATTATTTGAAATGAAATAAAAATTTAAACAATTTTTTTTATCATTTTACGAAAAATTGCAGGGTATTTTGATGGCCCCTGTAGTAGCATTCTATCATATTATGTAACTGATGTTGTAATATGCAAGATGTATATCAATTTTATTGATTACACAAAACTTTCTAGGTGGAAAGGTGAAAATGTGTCAACTTCTGAAATCGAAGCTGTAATCAGTAACACTGTTGAACTTAAAGATGCAGTTGTTTTTGGGGTTGAGGTGCAGTATTTATCAATTAATTATTTATACCTTTTTAATAATGACATATTAAAATAACTTGTTAGGTGCCTCATACAGAAGGAAAAGCTGGTATGGTTGCTATTGTTGACTTGACCGAAACTTTAAACATAAACGAGTTATCTGAAGGACTTAGGGCTCATTTACCAGGATATGCGATACCCCTTTTTGTTAGGGTCATGCATTCCGTGCCTATGACTGGAACATATAAGCTTAAAAAGAAAGAATTACGTGATGACGGTTACGATTTAAACAAAGTTACCGATAAAATTTACTTCTATAACTCCAAAGAAAAACAATACGTTCGATTCACTCCTGAATTATATGAAAAACTCAAAGAAGGAAAACTAAGTTTGTAAAAAAATGAGCTTTACGTATTATCTCTGAAAGCATGGTAGTTAATACTCGAAAGAAAGGAATAATTTAGTATCTATACAATATTAAATAGCTCAATCGAACAAAGGCAGAAAAGTGGTGTAGCTATTTAGTGCAGTACATAACTGTGATCTTTTGTAAATAATAATAGACACATTTACATGTAATGGTTTTATTTAAGCCGATAACATTGTGTCCCTAATCCTTAAATTTCTCCATGGCCAGCCTTGTCATGAACGTTTTGATGTTATACTTCGTAGCATGCAACGGAAGTTGCGCACGCATCGCATAACTGTCAATGGCAACTGTTAACTGTAATCGAACACACACATTTCTCTTGTTTTATTCGTTTGTTATATCGTACAATAATTTATAGTGGTAAAAATGTTTTTCGGAAAAGTCTTTTCGTTTCCATTTTTTTTTTAGTTTGTTCCTTGTCGTATTACTCTTATAAGTCCATCCATATTGTTATTTTGAATTGCAATTTTGCAGTCATTTATTACGCGTGCAGCGTCTTGGCCCACTAAAAAGTATTTCTGCGTAAAATTATACTATATTATTAAAATGATTTTTACCTCGTAATCTAGAAGCCTTTTGGATTATAATATTAATTGTTTTCATTGCTGTCATTCCTTCCTGGTGATTTTTTACTCTAATATTATGTCCATTAATAAGTTCCTTATTTAGCAGTGTCAGATCATAGTAATATTTTCCCATATCCATTCTTCAAAAAAAAAATCGGTTGTCTGTAAAGTCGGTTTACTGACGATAGTTGAACGTGACAACGTTATAAGAAAATAGTGATGGAATGGTTTCATTTTTCAAAAGAAAATTTTAATTTTATTTGTTTGATAGATATTTTGTATGGATATAGAGAAAGAGGGAAATCGAAATGTATCATTGTATAGCAGCTGTCCACGCGGACGCATCGCTCACTCAAGTACGAGAGAGACAGATGTCGAACGCTGCCGAACGCGGAGGCCGATTGTGCCTCTTTGTCGCTCGTTCCGCGCTCTCGCTTGCACTTCAAGCCTTCAATGGAACGCCTCAGAGGGAGGTAACGCTCCATGAGTCATGTTTTTTCGTGCGTGCAGCCGGCTCCATCGAATTATAAGACGTTGTCACGTCAAAAACAAAATTTTTAATTTGCCAAATTATTACACAAAAAATAATTAGATAATACGTATAATCACGAGTTATACAATTATGTAATTATCTTGTTTTTATTTTAATTAGACAAAAATAATAGAAAATGTAAAATATGGACATTTTGGCAGATAGTGTTTGCTGTAAAACTTTTATATTTTCCTGAATGCTTACACAGAGTTAATTCTACTGTCTTCGGCTCTTATCAAAAGTGTACGCGCTTCTCCTAATTTCTGGGCAACGTCTGCATTTAGTTTTACCTTTGAACTTTGAATTTCTTCCAAATCTTTCATTAGTTTTAATAGCTTTTCTTCTTCTTTTGGGAAGTAGGCTGTTGACTGCGAGATTAAGATTGTAGTAATATCTTTATTATTGTAAGGATATAGAAGGTTACACTTTATCACGATATTGGTAGACTTACCTTTAAACTTTCTAATTTACAAAATGCAGCTAAAGACTGAATTATATCTGATGCTAAAGCAACGCTTTCTGCACAAATCTTGTGTTTTCCGTTATTTTCGAAACAAAGTTGTAAGAAGCCTTCATCTCTGAGGCATTTAAAGTTGACGCACAATTTCGTCTTACCATCGTACTCTATTTCAGGTGAAAACATGAAATTTTGATTGATCCACATACAAATTCTTTGCAAACGTTCATGAATTTCAAATTCTACAAATCCTTTCGGTAAAGTCTCAGGTTTATCATCAAGTTTGCAGTACATAGAAAATCGGGGTATTTGACGAACAAATTCAAATACATGGAATTTTTCGCTTGCAGGATAACCAACCAGGGCCTTTAAAAACCCAAAATGTACTATTATCATTGCAAACCGTTGTTCTTTTTTATTATTTTTTAATTAATTTATTTTATTAGTTTTATGATTTTTTTGGAAAAATGTCCCTTCTAATATTGTTGTTTATTAAGGATAATGTCAAACTTACTTTTATTAAAAACGTTCCTGCTACGTCTTTCGGCAATTCTAAAGGGATCACCAAAAGCGAACTGAGCTTTGACGGGGGTGGATTTACTGTGAGGATATCGTCGTCAAAAAATCCTTCAGCAAATATTATAGCTGCTTTTATTATTGTTAGATTATTTGTCATTAATATGAGTTCTAAATGGTGCTGAAAGTAAAAAACTTATTTTCCTTATGGTTCGACGTAGTACATATTATTTTTTAACAGTTTAAGATCTGACTTAGTGATGAACACATTATAGGTATTAGAGTATGCCAAATGCAATTTATTTTGTATTCAAAACACAAAAAGATGCTACAAATAGCGAGTATCTTAAAAGTATGATTTTAATATTAATGATAAGAGATAGTGATCTGAATTTTTCGATTTTCATAACATAGCTAACTATAGTTTCAGTATTTAATTAGCTAGTTTGTAAGAAATGAGAAAAAAGTATTTCAGGATATTGCCGACTTCTGGACATTCTTGTCTTTTTTGTTTTTTGGCACAGCTTAATACCTTCCTTAATACCTTGTTGGGATCTTCATTTGAAATTATTACACTAAGTTTTGTGTTCGCTGGTATTATACCAGAAGAAATTAAGTCATCTTCTAAATAAACTCGGTCACCATTTTTAATTTTCAACTTTTCGTTAGTTTTCATTTCATCTAAAAGTTTCTGCTTTTCAGCCAACAATTCTTTTATTGCTTCTTCTTGTTGTTCAACCGTATACATAATTGCTGCAGGTTTTGTTGTACTGAATCCCTTAACTTAAAAATGAAAATGACATTTAGTATACGTATTACAGCGTTTTTGTGGATAGTACGTAGTGTTATTAAAATTACTCGTTCCATTGATGGTAGCAACGATTAAATCGGATTTTCCATTTGATCTATAGTCTGCCTCAATAATTCCTGCAATACCATGTTCTAGCACGTCTTTAAATAGAATTTCGCCTGTTTTGATTAATCTGCAATCAATTTTGCCATTGGACCATCCTGTAATTAACTGTGCCGTTCCTTGGGCTAACAAGTCATACCCGAAACATGAGATCACATTATTCTTTGACTGTAAAAATTGTTATTAACTAAATACCAACGCACATGAAGGATCTATTTTTATAGAGAAATGTTGTACTTGATGACCCCATTGTCCCAGAGGGTGGGGGTTGCGAGGGATGTTGACGAGGTGTCTTCCGAACACAATTCCTTTGGAATTAGCCATTGGTCATCTTTCGGAAAAAATTTATGAAGAGTTGAAACTTAAACAGTTAGGTTCCATTAGGTTGCGGTTTTTGAACTTTTCCCGCCCTTATACCTTATAGGTTAAGTTAGATTAGGTTACTACCCTATTTTGTATATTGTTTGCAGGTTTTACGGGTAATTAAAACTAACCTACAGTATTGTACAGGATGGAAGAACTATTAGTGGAAGATCAATTTGGGTTTAAAACAGATGGAGGAACACGGGAGGGCATTGTAGCTTTACGAGTTGTAATAGTGCGTAAATAGGAATTATAGATTTAGAAAAAAATTTTGACAATGTTAAGTGGGACAAGATGTTAAATATATTTAAAAATGTAGGAATGAGTTACAGAGTTAGAAAAGTGATATTTAGTTTGTATAAAGAGCAACAAACAGTTATAGAGCTGGAGCAGCAACGTAGAGAAATAACTATTAGGAAGAAAGTCAGACAGGGATGCACATTGTCACCGCTACTTTTTAATCTATACATCGAAGACGCGATCAACATCATTAAAGACAACAACTGTAGGGATAGATATGCAGGGACAAAGAATTAGAATGCTTAGATTTGCAGATAATATAGCAGTATTAGGAGCAAGCAAGAAGGAGTTAGAGATAGCTTTAAATAAAATGGAAACCGCATTGACAAAACAGTGTTGTATGAAAATAAATGAAAGTAAAACACAAATACTGGTATGCAAGGGAAGAAAAAGTAAGGAAAGAGCGAATATAAAGACAGGAGACCTAAAATTAGAAGTGGCCGATNTTTGCGAGACGAAAACCTTTCATAGTTCGTTATATGGGAGCGTTGGAAAGATATTTAAGAAGGAAGTGTTTGGAGTTAAATGTTAGTAAGACTAAGTATACGGAATTTGGAGAAGTACGTAAGGGGTAGAAAGGGGAAAGAAAAAAGGTGATTAGGTGGAAACGGGAAGAGATAGAAAAGGTTAAAAAATATATATACCTAGGATATGTTATGGGAGAGAACAACAATGATAAAATACATATAGATACGCAACTAGCGAAAGCAAACGCCTTGTTAGGAAGTATATGGGGAATAGNGGTGCTGAAAGTAAAAAACTTATTTTCCTTATGGTTCGACGTAGTACATATTATTTTTTAACAGTTTAAGATCTGACTTAGTGATGAACACATTATAGGTATTAGAGTATGCCAAATGCAATTTATTTTGTATTCAAAACACAAAAAGATGCTACAAATAGCGAGTATCTTAAAAGTATGATTTTAATATTAATGATAAGAGATAGTGATCTGAATTTTTCGATTTTCATAACATAGCTAACTATAGTTTCAGTATTTAATTAGCTAGTTTGTAAGAAATGAGAAAAAAGTATTTCAGGATATTGCCGACTTCTGGACATTCTTTTCTTTTTTGTTTTTTGGCACAGCTTAATACCTTCCTTAATACCTTGTTGGGATCTTCATTTGAAATTATTACACTAAGTTTTGTGTTCGCTGGTATTATACCAGAAGAAATTAAGTCATCTTCTAAATAAACTCGGTCACCATTTTTAATTTTCAACTTTTCGTTAGTTTTCATTTCATCTAAAAGTTTCTGCTTTTCAGCCAACAATTCTTTTATTGCTTCTTCTTGTTGTTCAACCGTATACATAATTGCTGCAGGTTTTGTTGTACTGAATCCCTTAACTTAAAAATGAAAATGACATTTAGTATACGTATTACAGCGTTTTTGTGGATAGTACGTAGTGTTATTAAAATTACTCGTTCCATTGATGGTAGCAACGATTAAATCGGATTTTCCATTTGATCTATAGTCTGCCTCAATAATTCCTGCAATACCATGTTCTAGCACGTCTTTAAATAGAATTTCGCCTGTTTTGATTAATCTGCAATCAATTTTGCCATTGGACCATCCTGTAATTAACTGTGCCGTTCCTTGGGCTAACAAGTCATACCCGAAACATGAGATCACATTATTCTTTGACTGTAAAAATTGTTATTAACTAAATACCAACGCACATGAAGGATCTATTTTTATAGAGAAATGTTGTACTTGATGACCCCATTGTCCCAGAGGGTGGGGGTTGCGAGGGATGTTGACGAGGTGTCTTCCGAACACAATTCCTTTGGAATTAGCCATTGGTCATCTTTCGGAAAAAATTTATGAAGAGTTGAAACTTAAACAGTTAGGTTCCATTAGGTTGCGGTTTTTGAACTTTTCCCGCCCTTATACCTTATAGGTTAAGTTAGATTAGGTTACTACCCTATTTTGTATATTGTTTGCAGGTTTTACGGGTAATTAAAACTAACCTACAGTATTGTACAGGATGGAAGAACTATTAGTGGAAGATCAATTTGGGTTTAAAACAGATGGAGGAACACGGGAGGGCATTGTAGCTTTACGAGTTGTAATAGTGCGTAAATAGGAATTATAGATTTAGAAAAAAATTTTGACAATGTTAAGTGGGACAAGATGTTAAATATATTTAAAAATGTAGGAATGAGTTACAGAGTTAGAAAAGTGATATTTAGTTTGTATAAAGAGCAACAAACAGTTATAGAGCTGGAGCAGCAACGTAGAGAAATAACTATTAGGAAGAAAGTCAGACAGGGATGCACATTGTCACCGCTACTTTTTAATCTATACATCGAAGACGCGATCAACATCATTAAAGACAACAACTGTAGGGATAGATATGCAGGGACAAAGAATTAGAATGCTTAGATTTGCAGATAATATAGCAGTATTAGGAGCAAGCAAGAAGGAGTTAGAGATAGCTTTAAATAAAATGGAAACCGCATTGACAAAACAGTGTTGTATGAAAATAAATGAAAGTAAAACACAAATACTGGTATGCAAGGGAAGAAAAAGTAAGGAAAGAGCGAATATAAAGACAGGAGACCTAAAATTAGAAGTGGCCGATTTTCGGTATATCGGAAGTCAGATAAGTCAGGACGGAAGGAGTAGTAGGGATATAAATCAGAGGATACCTCAGGGTCGCGTCACCTTCAATAAAAAAAATCACTTCTATGCTCACAAACGGTTAATTTAGAAATTCAAAAAAGGTTGTTAAAGGTGAACGTTTAGAGCGCGGCGCTGTACGGGAGCGAAACATGGACGGTAAGCGCGTAAAAGAAAAGTTTACCTAGAAGTGTTTGAAATGAGGTCTTACATGCGAATAATGAGGATACCGTGGATAGAAAAGATTAGAAATGAAAAGGTATTAGAAAAATTGGAAAACAGAGGACTCTATAGAAGTCAATAACAGGTAGACGAGATAGATTGTTAGGACGCCTGCTCAGGTATAAACGGCTGGTCAGAGACATATTAGAGGTAGAAACGGGAGTTAAGAGGATTAGAAGTAGACTTAGATTAGATTACTGTTTGCAAATAGTTAAGGATGTAGAATGTTGTAGGTTTAGGGAAATGCGAAGATTAGCTCTGGATAGGAAAGAGTGGAGGTGCATGTCCAACAAATCTTGGGACTGACGACCTTTTGGTGATGATAATACTGTATTGTGACTGCAGAAAGAGAAGGGCGGGAAACGTTCAAATACCGGAGCCTATTGTAACCTGATATGGTGATTTTGTTTTTAAACTTCAACCCTTAATAAATTTTTTTCGAGGGTAGCCTATGGCTAATTTCAATAGAATTATGTTTGGAGGACCCCGCAATCGAAGTGAGTGATATCAGCTTTTGTGATAATTAGAGTGAGTTTTTAAAGAAGAATGTTATTTGTAGTTTATTATTATTATTACCTTAACTCTCCATAGTCTTACATCCAATTCGTAAACACCAACTGTTCCGTTACTAAGTGCGTATGCAAATCTATTTTCTGGTAATGCTGTTAAAACAGTTACAACCCCTGTTTCTAAACTTTCGGCTATCATTTTACTGTCTTTGTAAACTTTAATCGTATAGTCTTCTGTACACACCATTAGCTTAAAGAAACGATTAAAATTATCAAATTTTTAATTTAAATCGTCGCAGTAATGATAAAATGGACAATGCACAACGAGCAAAGTACTTTCTTAATTTCAGTAAAAAATAGGTACGGCTATTACCATTGGTAGTGGTAGGTAGAAAGAAAATATGGACCTTGTCGTATGCTGATGACATTGTATTAATAGCCACGAACCATAGTGCATTAAAAGATATGATGGGAGCGTTGGAAAGATATTTAAGAAGGAAGTGTTTGGAGTTAAATGTTAGTAAGACTAAGTATACGGAATTTGGAGAAGTACGTAAGGGGTAGAAAGGGGAAAGAAAAAAGGTGATTAGGTGGAAACGGGAAGAGATAGAAAAGGTTAAAAAATATATATACCTAGGATATGTTATGGGAGAGAACAACAATGATAAAATACATATAGATACGCAACTAGCGAAAGCAAACGCCTTGTTAGGAAGTATATGGGGAATAGGGCATAAATTATGCAGGAACGATTGGATTAGAAGAAAGAGGTTGTTTGATTCGACGGTCAGAAGTTTAGCTCTTTATGGGGTGGAAGTATGGGGGTGGAAGGAACAAAAACAGGTGGAAAACGTTTACAAGGAATATATAAAGTGGGTGTTGCGTTTGGATAGATATACGCCAGATTATGTTGTACGGAGGGAATTAAAATGTGGGAAAATGGTAGAGGAAACCAGAAAAAGGGTGGTACAATATGAAATAAAAGTTGAAAAGCTTATGGATGGGGATATAAGAAAAGAATTATGGAGAAGAAGAATTTTAAATATTGGAATAAAAACCAGGTATGATAAAGAAAGAGATGGGGCATTAGAATGTTTAAATTTGAGTCAGGAGCAACTGAATGAATGGGGTCGAATGGGGGTAAGTGTTGAGGAAATGGTGAGAATAAGATGTAAAGAGATGATAAGGGCAGAAGACCTAAGAAGTATTGATAAGTCGAGATATGTGGAATGTCTAAAGTTGTTGCTATGGGAGCATTGGCAGGGAGACTTTTTGCAAGACTATTTGAATAGAATGAAGGATGTGGAAGTATTTGCAAGGTTTAGAGTAGGAAATGAATGTAGAAAATGTAAATATTGGATGAAAGAAGAAGAAATGATATGTAGGATATGTGAAAGGGAAGATGAAACAATCATGTATGTACTAAGAGGATGTGAGGAAAGTAAAGATTTAGATGCATGTAAGGAGATATTAAGTGGGAGTGGTCTGATCTTACTTAAAAATATAATTAAAAAAAGAAAGGGTTTTTCAGTTTAGTTAATATAAGGGAGGGATTTAATAAATAAATTAGTATAAGTTGAGTAAATGACATATATATGTATGTGTGTATGTATTTGTGTATGTATATATGTATGTGATACGATAAGTAAGTTTCGATTAGTTCTTTTTTCTTATTATTTAAGTTAAGTTAACTTTCTTTTGTAATTGTTGTGTATGAATGAAGGCTTAGTTTGATAAGAATTCTATGTATGTATTGTGTAAATAACTATGTTAAAAATATATTACTACTACTACTATTACCATTGAATGTGGACTTTTGCATCGATAACTTAAAGATTTTCCCATTCAAACGTTGTGATTATTAAATTTTATATGCTTCAAGAATTTTATAAATAATACCGTGATAGTGGATAATAGTCCTATTTCCCAAGAACTCATTTGTTATTATTAACAGAAATAAATGCAAAATTATTTATGAAGAGTTTTAAAATTTGTAATCGGATTTTGTTAAGTCATCATGAAATAGTTGCACGGTTTTAAATCAGTACTCCCATGTGTAGTTTACTTTTCCTATTCCTTTATGAACCGTTAGTTTAGTTAAAGTTAAATTGCATTAAAGCCTAGTGCAAAATATATGTATTATAGCAAAACAACTGGAGCAAACGTGATTGTATGTGTAATAAGGCGTATGTGTTTATGGTCGTCGGCTGAAGCAGGATTTTGTAGTGCAATAAGCCCACCTCGTTGAAGCCATCTCTGTTGAAATCTAACAACAATATCGAAGTAACAGTATCGCCTATAGCGAGCCAATACACTTCCAATCCCGCATGGTCGAAGCCGCGAACTGTTGAATTACCACCCACGAAGATAACGGGCTTATTGGGTTCAGACATTGTTCCAAAACGAATAGTTTTCACGCTATCCGGACAATCTTGATAAAACACGTCCTTGTTGTCGTGGACGTTATAAGCCAGCAGATGCGTGTTAGTTCCTTAAAAGATTAAGATCATAACTCGATAACCAAATAAGAAAAATATTAATATCAAAACTTGACTATAACAACGTCCACAATATTACAATATTTATTCGTTATAAATAATTTTAAATTGTTTGTGTCCTTCAAGCAAATCTAAAGGCTGTTTAGTGGGAAATTTTTTAATATGTCAAGTAGAAGATATATTGAAAAATATACTTAACGATTTTTAAACGTTTGTTCAAATTTATTGTTAGACAAGATAAAAGAATCGTCAAATAAAAGTACTTTTTCTTGCCTTTATGGGATTTATACGTGCCCTTTATTGCGAGACAAAAACCTTTCATAGTTCGTTATAACCGAAAACTTGGTTATAACAACGTCTACAAGACTACAATATTTATTCGTTACATACAGGTGTTCATTTTAGACAATTATACTGATTTGCAGTTTTTAGATATTTTAAAATTGTTTGTATCCTTCAAGCAAATCTAGAGTCTGTTTAGTGGCAAATTTTTTAATATGCCAAGTAGCCCCCAATCTAGAGCAGATTTTTAAACGTTTGTTCAAACTTATCGTTAAACAAGAAAAAAAAATCATCAAATAAAAGTATTTTTTCTTGTCTTTATGGGAACTTACATACGCTCTTTGCGAGACGAAAACCTTTCATAGTTCGTTATAACCGAATTTGTATCTCGAAGAAAAATATTAATGTTACAACTTGGTTATAACAACGTCCGCAAGACTACAATATTTATTCGTTACATACGAGTGTTTATTTTAGACAATTATACCGATTTGCAGTTTTTAGATAACTTTAAATTGTTTGTATCCTTCAAGCAAATCTAGAGTCTGTTTAGTGGCAATTTTTTTGATATGCCATATATACCCCAATCTAGAGCAGATTTTTAAACGTTTGTTCAAACTTATCGTTAAACAAGAAAAAAAATCGTCAAATAAAAGTATCTTTTCTTGTCTTTTTGGAAATTTATATACGCCCTTTGCGAGACAAAAACCTTTCACAGTTCGTTATGTTATAACCGAAATGTATCTCGAAATAGCGTGCACATCTTGCATTTAATTTTGCTTGCTGTTCATTACAAGTGAATTCTAAAGTATCCTTATCATTAAATGATTAGAGTAAGTACTAAATACCAAGTATGAAAAGTTTTTAAAAATTGGAAAACACCTGTTTAGTATCAATAGATCAATATTTTCAAAAAATCGCGAAATATTAGTTTTGTATCAATCATAGGCGAGCTCAACAACGGCTTTCCCTCTAATATATTTTTTGTAGAAAGCTTAAATAAATAGGAAACATTATTCACTGCCGTCGTTGGAACATTCAATGTTATAGAATAAAATAAAGCAAATCAAATTTTAGAAAAAGGATTGCAAAAGAAAAGTAAACATTAACTTTGTTAAATTACTCACCTATTAGAAGAATGTCTTTATTTTCATTGGGAATAATTTTCCCTGCAACCAATGCAGTTACTGCTTGGTTGATGTTCAGCGTTGAAACTTCTTTATTAGATTCTGATATGATAATATTTCCCGTAGATGTACCACTTACTCTTTTGTGGGGACTATGAATAAGAACCTAAAAAACATGAACTTAATTATTATTATTTTGTAGTTGTATGACATGTCTGTGTTTTTAATAAATAATGATAATCAATTACCTTTGAATAATTTGCTATTTGATAAATAAATAAAAGTAAAAAATTGTCTTGATTGTTTTTTCGTAAATTATCGAAAGTGTAAACTTAATAGGTAATTGGGTCACTTCAATAATTTCCGAATGTGATGTCTCTAACTAAAGATAATCACTATTTATTAAATTGAATATATATACAAAACTATATACAAAAATGATTTTGGTGGTAACAAATGGTTGGTTGGTTGGTACTGTCTCGGCGAGACAGCTTGGTCACTCTCTTAAAACGTACTTACTTACACTGGTAACTGGTAAAAAACTGGTACTCCGACTTTCTCCTTTGGCGACAAAGATTTCTAAAGGGGGTGAAATTCTTAGAATCTTTGCCGTTAAAAACATACACATTCAAAGCTGAGGGTTCAAATGGTCATAAAAACAGGTACAAAATGTTAGTTTGTTTAGCTTAAAAAACGTATTTCTTTTGCTTCAAAAATGAAAGAGGAAAAAATCGGAATATTTGAAAATAAATATTAGTTAAATTTTACTTATTACTACATTTAGGAATTAATAATAATATGCATGAAAAAGGTAAAATACTGCCGAACAAAGATTCTAAACAATTTCTTCATTTTCTTTTACCTTATCGTCAGTTGTCGCCATGGTAAGGCAAGGATGTGTACCATCGTACTTTCCAATGGTAATAATTCCAGGAAGAAACTCATAATTTAATTCAAAACTAAACACGGGACGAATTGGCTTTTCCATGATTTTTTCGTGATGCTATTCCATCATACTTGGCTTTCCGGATTTGTTTAGTGTGCGGTTACTACTGACTACTCATTTCAATCGATATTTTGCGACTAAGGATACACGTACCTACGTATATGTAAACAGTATAGGGAACTGTACCTGTAGGTACTTGTTCTTTAAAAATATAACAGAAACTTAATGACTTTAAAATGATTAGTTTTTGACTTTCTTGATACCAACAAAATGGATTATTTGCACTTTGAAGTAATTTATATTAATTTAACGTACTGAGATTAGGATTTGCTTTGGTTTCTTTACTTACTACACCATACCTCATCGTAATTTTGTCTATCAAAAATAGCATACTGTTTTTTATGTATTAGTTTTCATGTAAACTTATTTTGGTGTTGATTAATTTCTTTTCAAAACTGTTTTGGTGTATTATAGAGTATGTGATCTCTTTTGTGTATATTACTGCCAATTATTATTTAAATAAAGTAGTTTTGTCTATGATAAACTTTTTACTCAAAATACTCGCTTTCGAAAAGTTAACTGTAACTGTAGTCGTTAAATAAATTATGTTTGCGGGGCAAAATAAAGGATGTAAGGGAGAAGTAATACTTACCCTTTTTGCACTTTCATAACTCACTAGGGTTTACCCGCAGCTTCGCTCGCGTTTATGTCCTAAATACTTGTCAAAGATAATCGAGAATCACATAAAACTACTTTTTCTATCCCTTTGGAACAGTATTTTTAATACCGGATAAAATGTACCACATGTCCTTTTTTCCTTCTCGGGAATGAAGGACTAGTCAGAGACATATTAGAGGCAGAAACGGCAGTTAGGAGAGATACAGGTAGACCTAGATTAGATTACTGTTCGCAAATAGTTAAGGATGTGGGTTGTGTTTGTTTTATGGATATGCGAAGATTAGCTCAGGATAGTAAAGAGTAGATGTGCGTGTCCAACCAGTCTTAGGACTGACGACCCTTTGATGATGTTCTTTTCTGTACCCTTGACAATGTGTANCCGCGGCGGAACTTCCGCATCTCGCCCAAGCGCTTATTGCAATATAATACGTAAACGTAAACTGCGTTTTTATTAACGCCAATCTTGTGTTTCGCGGCGGAACTTCCGCATCTCGCAAAGGTAATATTTCAAATGTGTTTTTTTTTTAAAATTGGATCCAATAAAGTGAACGATAGAAATAGTCAGTTCTTACCCAGTATTTTTCGACGCCATTTTCAGTATACTCATCTCCCCATCCTATTATCTTAACTGAATGGTATCCAGTTCTGTCTTGGGAAGATAAGTCGGTGTGCCTATATATTCCACTTTTGTACAAAAAGAAGTCGTGGTATACTTTCATGGTTGCTAAAAAGAGCATTCATTCATAGGTGGCTATACAAAATTAGAATAGCATATCTAAAATTAATTTTTTTGAAACGTGATAAAAATATTCATATTTGTTTTGAGAATTTAATTACGAAATCAGCATGTTTTCAAACGTATTAAAATACATGACATCACAATTCAAACATTTTGAAATTAGAATTTTACATCTGTCGTCTGTACTACCGCAAGATGTATTAAATATTAATAGACTTCCACTTACCTTGAACAGGTCCCGATTTTATTATATCATTCATAATGTCAGTTTCATTTCTCAAACGGTAAGCAGGTGCTACTTTGTACTTTTCTTTTCGGTTCACACCGAACGGTGGGACGCATCCCGACTGGATCAAATTATACTTCCTAGGAAATCGACATGTTTCTTCTTGACCAGTGTAGGGAAAACAGTTTTCATCAACGATACTGTGAGAGAGGATCAATAAGTAACAGAATAACAGACTTGAAAGTCATTAATTAGACTGAATATTGACGTGAAAATTCAATTAATTTTTATCTATTACAAATTATCTCAAATTAATGACAAAAAATTGTTACGGCTGTCACATCCTCGCCGGGAATCGAACACGAGACCTTTGGTTTTACGCACCAATAGCAGAACGAATAGCAGCAACAATTTTTCTCATTAGTTTCAGATAATTTGTAGTGGATAAAAATTAAATGAATTTTTACATTAATATTAATCGCTATTAAAGTATTTTATTAGACTGACCCAAATTTCCTGAAAAACAGCCACGCTTTATCTAGATGTCCCCCTTCGCAGCTTCGCTGTCCCCTGTTGTTGCAGGAAATGAGATACTGGGGACTAAGGCTAACGGCTTCGTCCCCTTTTGAAACGATAGCAAACCTGAGGGAATGGGATTTTATTAGAGAATGTTTATTTTTTTAAAATTATGTTAAAATGTACCTGTCAGATGCAACGGCTGCTGTAGAAATGGCCCATGACGATGCGCACCATCCTTGGTCCCGAATGTCTGAAATCTTTCCGGGCCATTCCCGCTCCGCATCAAAATTGCGAGGCAATGAGTTGGGGTCGTAATGTTTTCTCAATGGAACCATGTGCTTCACGAATCTGTGAGGTTCTAAGGTTCCAAGTCTGTGTGAAAATTTTCGTTATTTTTCTAGATCTACGAAAGATGCTATAGAAAATTCTTATTCTCATTGTTAGTAAAACATGACTCATTATCGAATCGAAACCACTTTTTTCTGATATGTTTATATTTTTTGTCAATGATAAATGTTTGTCTGCTACAATTTTACGTCTTAACTACTCAAGCGATCATCATGAAATTTTGTACACAGATTACCAAGAGTACAGAAACGGATATATAGTATCTCTTATCCAGAAAAAAATACTATTCCTAGGGATAGAAAAATTAGTTTTATGTGGCCGTCGATGATTTTTGACAGTATTTAGAACATTTACGTGGNTAAAAAAATTTGACGTCCGCACTGAGCGTCGATCTTCAGTCGTTCAGTCATGCAAATGCATCATTTCTGTAAATAACTTAATTTGCATTATTTCAAATTGTAAAGACTAAAAAAACTATGCATTTAAACAAATTTCTATTTTTAGGACAGTTATTGTCAGTTGCTTAAAATACCGTACGTACTTACGTACACACTGAATGTTAATAAAACTATAATACTACTTAATTATGTATGAAAACCGAGCAATGGCAGTTATAAATTTTCGTATTAATAAGTATTTTCGGCAGTATATATATTTATTTTTTTTTTATCTTTCATGGCACTCATTTCAAATAGGTAACCATTTTTGAGGAACTATTTTTTCTTTTTCAACACGTCATTTTTTGTATTCGGATCCACTGTTAATGGCCAAGCTCCTAATACAAACGATTCGATGTCACATTCGTTGACACCTCTAATAATTCTGAAATAGCCATTTTCACCCCATGCTCTCCCCCAGCTGTTTGCCACTTTCTGTAACAAAAAAAAGCGTAGATAAACTATGCTTAGTATTTAAATATGTTTAATGTTTTCTTTTGAAAGAAAAGTATTTTGCATACTTCATTTATTGTGTGCAAAATAACAAGTCTGTGACAAATGTACAGACACACGAATGAGTTATTTGTTATTTCCCTTCAATTATGCGTTTTTATAAGACAGACATTTAGTTATGTCTTACGGGAAACTTGGCGCCTCTTGCATTATAATACGTAAACGTAAACTGCGTTTTTATTAACGCCAATCTTGTGTTCCGCGGCGGAACTTCCGCATCTCGCCCAAGCGCTTATTGCAATATA